TGACAAAGAACACACATTTTCCTTGACTTGAGCACTTTGTGTAGTCAACCGCTCGTAGACATTTGATACACATACCAAAAACAGTGGGAAAACTTTATTGAGAACCGGCCCACCGATATCGGCGCGATCTTGAAGATATAGCAGCAACCGACAAACTCGCACTTCAGCGAATTGGTGTTGCTCACTCTCCTAAATTTGATATCAAAGCATTATAGATTCGAAATGCCTTTAAGGTTTACTGACAACCTTTGAATAAAAAACAATCTTTAAGAACTGGATTCTGACAATAAGCATTTAGAAAAGAACAAGTTTGAGCATTACCCGCTGTCCTCCCCAACCGTGAGCCCATGCATTGGTTGATGATTGAGGTATTTCGATTACATCGAGTTTGAGATATTCAGTCAACGCTTCCACTATTAGTGGCAGAACCTTGTCAGTGAAGAATGTCGATTCGACTGCTTCGTCAACAACAGGTATGCTGCTAACGGCTATATTTCCGCCTGCAAAAAATTCGGCATCAAAGTAATCTGCTTAATCATTCATCCACGGACAAGCGTAAGAAGCAATCAGCATGCTCAATGACATTTTCAAGGTACCGAGGCGACAAGGCTGCGTGTCTATGCAAAAAAGATATTCAGAATTCCAAGTTAACGGGAACGAGAGGGCCGAATATGCAAATNGTCAACGATACAGCACGTAATGAAAACTTGTTTTCTCGGGCGCATGTTGCTGAACTCACTGCCACAACAAAACAGTTTGTTAGAAATGACAAATGAACGAATTTTCAAAAGGTAGAAAAACAAAAAATCAAGATGGCAAGGCAAAAGTTTCAAAAGCATGCCCCTCCTAAGAAACTGATTTACCTGTTGGGTTCATCAACCAGGTGTAAAGACGCCTATTTAGAGACATATCGCGTCGTAACACAACGAAAACACATCGCATTATCAACTGAAGAATAAACAGCACTGAGTGAATCTTTGATAATGACTGATCACTGAAGATAAGTGTTCCACCTGGACGAAATCCTCTCTTGTAAGGTTCGTGCTGTCTAGGGGAAAAGCTGCACATAAGAAATCCAACAAGTTTCGCTGAACCAACGGTGATCCAGAATCGCTTGCAGTCGCACAAAGAGCGGCAACCTTAAAATGGTTACGTGCAACTTAATAACAGAAGAAAAGCCATTTCCAGGTTTAAGTATCAGTGACATCACGAAATGTAAATGCCGATTAATGCTACCATGTGATTCACGTGGTCGCCAACAATCGCGATTTGATCATCAAGTGTTCGTGTTTTGTCGAATTTCGCATTCACATACAGCATAGCTGGGAGTCGTACAGATGGGGAACCTAGGACAGCTTGCCAGAGACATGCGAAAAAAGCACGTTCTCCAACTCCCTCACAAACTCGATCGAGCACGGATAGCGACCTGAAATTGGAAATTGCATTCCACTAGACTTACGAAGTCCGTAGTTATTAGTCTCGCCACTTAATGTTGTTCATTTGATCACATTTCCTATTTCCCGTAATAAATTCGTTTGTTCTTGATCTTTCGCTNCTTGTTAATTCCTCTTGAGCAGAGATGATGAGAAAAAGCTTGTTTCCACTTTCGAAGACCATTGCCATTAGTTAATCGACCGCCTTGGAGAGGCAAGTAGAGAGCCTTCAATTCCTCTTTTCCCGGAATCCCAAAAACGATAGCGAGTCCGTTTCACATTTCCGCACTAGATTGACAGAGAAAGGGCCGTGTTAAGTGAAGCATTATGCTGCGGCACTGATAAATAATAGTACAGCTACAGAAACAAACTCGAATAGCCCGATGGCATTGCAGGTGATCAAACTAAAATAGCCTCTGAACTGCTTTTAAATCTGTACGTATGACACCAACCAATATGTACGCAGAACAATGAATTGACAGCGATTTTTCAGAAATAATGCGCTAGGCGTCTTTTCTGCTATAGTATAAATTCTCCACCATGCAATCATGACTGCTAGCCAAATAGCAGAGAAAATGCCGAGAAAGATTTCAAATGAGCCTGCGCCAAATTGGAACTCTCCAAAAGGACAATTCTGTCTCCGAAATAAACCAAATTCAATCTCAAAGTCAGTTAACTAAAATTTATGGAAGTCTATATTAATGATTAGAATAATCACAACTGAAGACAACTGAAGGAAAAATGTAACAGAAGTCATACCTTTCATAAAACTCTGTGCCTTCCTCTAGGCCTAACAATACTCCAGCTAGAAAGCCCGGTAAAGCTGGTTTCAGATTTTGACCCAGCGGGAGAAGGTACTGTTCAAAAATATTGAACAACTCAGATTTTACCTGAAATAGTATAAAATATTCTAAAGCTGAATAGACGCTTGGCTTCGTACACGCCAAGGAATGTTGCTCACCTTAATACCGCAGTGATCCATGAGTGGAAAAAGACCTACGGCAAAAAGGTACAGCAATTTGGGCAATGACTGGGGACCCAAAATGTCGAATATTTGACGATATGTTTCGAGGGCTTTCAAATGAACACCTACAAACACAATCTTGGGAAAAAATAAGTGGAATAGTATCAAGAAAATAAAAAAAAAAACTAACCCATTGGCAGAGCAGGATGAAGGCACTGTGACAATCGCTTGGCGACAGTAACTGGTTTAGGAATGTCTCCGAATTTGGCATTAGATTGGAACACCTGAATCGAATCGAAGATGTGAAAGCTACAATCATCCTGAGGGAGCCGCTGTGTTAGAACCAAATTTGGTGGAATCAAGGGAAACGACGTGACTTACCTTAGTCAATTTGGCAAGCGCTGAGATGAGATCTGCCCATTCATTAGGATTTTCAAATGTCTTCAAAGCTCGATCGACCGCTTGTACATACACCTTATATTTACTTGTATTGTGTAGCGGATTTGGTGCCGTCACATCGCCAGGAGCAAGTCCTCCTGATGACGACGACATCTGCGGTGCTTGAAAATCCCT